TGACTATATGATGACAATGACCTTTATATAACATATAGGGAGAAAGAGAGACGAATGTCTACGTTCAATCTAGAACTCACTGGTTTTTCTCCATTTTGAATTGGGTTTGTATATGTATTACTATAGAAAATAAACGGAAGAGAACTATAATTATGAAATTTTATCTAAAATGTAAAATCAATAAACAAATTATATATACAAAAAGATTATATAAATCCTTAATATTCACACATTAAAATATGCCCGATAGAAGTATGTTTTCTAAAAATACAAAAAAGTAGTTATTCATAACTCAGGTGGCTTTACAAAAGGTAAACGAATGAGCATAAAAGCACAGCTGTTTTTAAAACTTAATATTATTAGACAAATTGTGGATATCCATTACTGCTTGTCTATAAAATGATTCAGAAGACTATGCTAAAATATGATACGGCAGGAAAAACGGCAATGTAAAGCAAATATGATGATTTTGTCACAGCATAAGAATATTGCCTCGTACTGTTATATAGCAATTTGTTGTCACAAGTTTATAATTTTTCGAAAAATGAACTCAGATTTAAATATTTAAACGTCAAATAAAATATAAAAACCTATTTAACCTTATTCCCAGCATTATTCTTAAACACTGATATAACGTCACAAGAAAATAATTTTAAAAAATCATTGCGAAATTCAAAATTTATATTTATACCGGTATCTCAGAAAATAATAATATTTGTATAAAGTACAGTCATATTTTGAGACAAAATCTTCAATTCAGAGCAAAAAATTGAGCACACAAATATTTATTATTTTATGTACTATGTTGTAAAATAAGTATACTCAAAACAAATAAATATTATCTACCAAGTGCTCTACTCCAGTTTATTATCTTCTTCTTCTTCTTCCTTCTTTATAAATAGGCTTAATGCCTGTTTTACTTCGGTTTTGAGCCTCAATTGACGTTGTCTGACCATCTTTTCCTCGGTCGTCCCAATGATCTCCTTCCATTTGGCGATTTGTCTCTTGCTATTCGTACTATTCTATTTTTTGTCATTCTTTCGAAGTGTTGATTCCATTCCGCTTTTTTCTTTTGGTCCACGCGTTTATTTCCTCTAAACCACATCTCGCTCGTATTTCTTCACTTCTTACTCTTTCTCTTAGAGTTTAGTTTGTTATTTTTAGTTTAGTTTAACAATAAAAGATGTATGCGTTTACACGTTATAGTTTGCAACTGAATAAGTTAAGGACGGGAGAATTGTTTGTCTCAAGTTGGCCATTCAAAATTATGTCTTTATTTTTTAATTTGCTAATTTCCATAGATTCTACTTTTCATAAAATCTAAAGGTAACTTCAGGGCTTTATTATAAATATACTTTTTTAGGAGTGAAAATACGTAAATAGAACCTGGAATATGCATGTAACGTAACCTTTGATCTCTGAGATAAACCCAACTCCTGAACAATGGCGCCGATATATGTAGTTAAAATTTTGTACACCTATTTTAACCGTTTATTTCCTTATTATCCATATATGAGTTGTAACCGATATTACAAACTCATTTATTTTTCACAAAGAGACTCTACATATATTAACTACATTTATTACTATACAAATCTGATCGAAATATTGTCTAAAAGTAACAGTATGTAAAATTAAAATTTTTAATGAGAAGTAAAAGATTAGCCATATTTTATAGGGTTTAAAGATCCCAAAGACCAAATCGGCCTTTTTAATGCCAACTATCCTAATTATGTCTATAAATATTAGAGAAGGGAATATCCAGAGATAAAGATAGGTACTTTACTTTACTTAACTTTATCAGACATATGCGGTTAACACAAATGTGACGTACTTCTAGTGCAGGAAACACATTGAGGGTCAAACATAGGCAAACAAGAAAAGAAAAACTTAAAATGAGAGGGGACAAAACCAGTCAGCTAGGGGAATCTTTCAACGGTGTTGAGCTTGGATCTGCTGTGTACGTATATAATGAACAATATAACCTGACTAAAGATCTGAGCACAAAACTAATTCTAAAATTTGGATCAAAAATACAACAATGGCTTGTATTGTCCGGGTATGCCTACACAACAGAAGATCACTCAATGGTAAAAATAACAGATGGAAAACGTAGAAGAACGGTCTCCTTTGGGGTAGCGTAATGGTACCTACACTGTATAATATTTACACAACCCATGCCAGTAAATACTAGGACTTTTATTATGTAGACGATACATCTATATTGTTGCACAACCAAAAACTTTTGTTGCTGAAGTATAGAAAAATCTAAATCATACTTTAAACACAATAAAAATAGACTATGAATCAATTTTAAGCCAAACCTCAGAAAAAGTCAGATGTCCTGCTTTAATGTCCCTAACAGAGATGCTTTTAAAAATCTAAACATCCAATAGTGTCATGAAATTTTTAAACTCTGGACTTGCTATAAATACCTTGAAGATAGTTTGTATCACACTTTGTCATTCATAGAACATTGTTTAAAACTAAAAGGCAAACTGAGGACCAGAAAAATAATCTCTGCAAACTTGTCAGCTAAAAATGAGAAGCATCCTTTCATCCTTAAAACGTAGACACTTGCACTCTATGCTTCTGCTACCGAATATACCTTGCAAGTATGGATGACACCAACACATATTTAACACGTAGATTTAGCTATAAATTAGACAGCCAAATTCAGCGAATATTAAGACACACACACACACACATCCATACATAAGCTCTACAATATCGTAGCTATCAATTCACCTAATATCCGAAGATAAGTAGCTAGACTGCTAGAGAATAAAAGATACAAAGTCTAGAATCGCAACATCCACTCAACGAATACCAGCTCAATTTATGACTAAAATCAAGAAAAAACTGACCAAAGATTATTGCAAATTTGACACTAACTCCACGTTTATTGATTACATATTACCCCTAAATAGCAGATAAAACATTTAGAAGTATGTAATATTGGTGAACTGGTACATTCTTCTTATATAAATTAAGCATTCTTCCCTCTTTTGTGCACTACTACCAATTTTTACATAAAAATATCTATTTTTGCACTTAAATATTTATTTTAAGATAACCTATCCACAATTTTATGTAGTACACAGATAAAACCAGAAATAAAATAATAAAGAAGCTGTATACAATATATCGTAAAACAATGGATTAACTAAAAGTTCTTATTAATCGTATTCTTAAATAAAACGTATAAAGACATATTCATGTTAACAAAATACATTAGGAAATATTCGCATATGAAAAAACACGTCCAACTTGGTAATGAAATCCTTTTGTATTTATAAAGCTATTTTTAGAATAGCAGGTACCTACCAAAAACAGGTATTTGGTATTATACATATCTATTACATATTGTCAATATTGATCGCCAACATTCATAACGGATAGGCACATCAAGAAGAAGAAGAAGATTACATATTATAATGCGTATGAAAAGGAGTCCGTATGAACCGTTTAAAATATATAAAATATATATATCAAGAACGCTGGCCTAAGTGCATAGTTGCCAAACTATCAGAGCTTACTTAAACCGATATACTTATAGTTCCAATATACAGTGAAAAAGATCTGAACGACCCCTATAATATATACACGTGAACTAAGCGAAATACATTTATGATACAGGGGTACTTATGAGCTCCAAAATTTTTTTAAGAATTATGAAACTATACATCTTAACGAATCGACAGAGCCAATATTATGGAATGGACAAGTGAGCTCCGTATATCGGTGTCCACTTGACCACGGAGCTCACTTGAACCTGAATTTTAACATGGGCGGAGTTCACTTTATGCCGTAGATATATATATACATATATATGTATATATATATATACATATATACATATATACATATATATATATATATATATATATATATATATATATATATATATAATCGTAATGTTGTTTATTCTATACCGTATTTACTGAATTACAACAAAGTATAGATAGGATCATTATCTCGTAATTTTCACAGTAGGGTGATTTCACATCGTAGCGACATAAAAACCAAAAAAATGAATGCATGTGCACTTACAGAACATTAACGTTGAAACATGAATTTAATTTCGAAGATTCCTGTATTTTGGCAAAAGGAAACAACCATTCAAAACGTGTTTTCTTGGAAATGTGTTTCATGAAATCTAGTACGTCTTGCATTAATAAAAAGTCTGACATAGATAAACTGAGCAACATTTATTGTTATATACTGGAAAAACATCAAAAATAAAATAAATATTTACCTTTACATATACATGCCATAATACACCTGTATGCATAACATGTTGCATACCATTAAGACTGTATGTCGAGATCGATAGCGCGGAAATCGATAAAATGGGACAGACGCCATTCGAGAGTCGACCAATACACACATCTTCAAATTCGTTTGTTCGTGGTTTCGTAAAATAGCGTAAAAACACATTGAAGTTACTGGTAAGTCCACCCTTAGTTTTACCGTAACCTATACAATGTTTTGATTGTTTATTGCAACCATTTAAAATTTGATGATTGTTTGCACCTATGGGTAAAAGTTCATTTATCTCACCAGGGTTATCGACGACAATATAGTCGATGTTAATTTAATTATTATTAATTATCTCGTAATGGACCATTGTTTATTTAATTCGCCACATATATGGATTAAATGAACCGAAGCTGTAGATGTGGAGTCGTATAAAACATTTTAAATTTAGAATTAAAAAAAATAAGGGTCATTCACCGAGATAAAAAATATCCTATCTCACAAGTTGTACCAAAAATTACACTTTCACAAAATTTTATTGGAATAGATTCACTGGTTTCTTATATCACCTTGGACAAACACCGTGGCACGGATTTTTTATGTATAGATATATAAAATAGTTTATTTATGTGAAAAAGCTGAGATGTTTGTTACAAAGAACTTTAAAACTTTCAATTTAATTTAGTTATATTAATTTCAAATAGTTTATAAAGCTTGTAATTATTTCATCTAATTTGTAGAATTAATCCTCTGTCTTTGGTTGAAATTGTGGCTATAGTCGTTCAACAATTCAAAAATCCGAAAGATGCTGTTGCTTTTCTTGAAAAGACTGAACCTAAGGTTAAAGTTAATGCAGATGCACAAAACCTGTGTAAAGTTTTAGCTGGTCAGATATATATTGAAAAGTTAAACGATTTAGATGCCACCAAAAAAATAATTGAAGAAGTGGAATCTACATTGGATAATGCTGATGGTGTTACTCCAGTTCATGGAAGATTTTATTTACTTGCTTCACAATATTATAGGTTTGTATAATTTTTTGTAACTTATATAAAGTGTGTATATATATATATATATATATATATATATATATATATATATATATATTAGGAAATATTTCCGCGGTTAGTACAATGAAACCTAGAGCTAAGATCAATACTATTACAAAAATTAATATTAAACTCACCAGTCTTCCGGGTTGAACCGCGTCGATATCCATTCGGCCGAGCTTTCGACATCCTCCCTGATGTCTTCCTCAGGGCTTCCGAAATCTCAGTCTCTCAAGCCCCCAGACACTACTACACTTGTCACTGTTCACTTCACTGTCACTATTACTGTGCACTGTACTACTGTAGTAGTGACAGTGAAGTGAACAGTGATAAGTGTAGTAGTGTCTGGGGTCTCGGGAGACTGAGACCTCGGAAGCCCTGAGGAAAACATCAGAGAGGATGTCTAAAGCTCGGCCGAATGCATATCGACACGGTTCAACCCGGAAAACTGGTGAGTTTAATATTAATTTTTGTAATAGTATTAATCTTAGTTCTAGGTTTCAAATATATATATATATATATATATATATATATATATATATATATATATATATATATATATATATATATATATATGTATATATATATATATATATATATATATATATATATATATATATATATATGTATATATATATATTTATTATGTACTATGTGAAAAACAACTGAAAGGGGTCGATTTTTATTCTTAAGGGGACATTTTCCTTTGAAATTGAAAAAAAAAAACACTTTTTAACAATTTTAGTATGAAAAAACTATTATATTTATTGAAAAAATTCCTTTTGGATATACTTAAAGAGTCTCTGAATACCAAGAATTTTTTTTTTCATTTTTAGTTTTCTTTGGCTGCTGTAGAGGGCGCCATCCAAAAGATATCTTTTAAACGGTAGGACATATTGTGGACCTCCTGTAATAGATTTTTGAAAAATTCAAAATGCATTGTATTCGTGAGACTAAAAACTATACAAGAAGCCTCTAAAACTCATACTTTTTCATATTTTGAACCTTTTGTTTATATGTTTCTGAATAATGCGAAAAAACGGCATTTTTTTATTGGTAACTCGCCCCGTAAAAAAAAGGTGGTGGTATTTTTTCAAACTTTTAGAGGCTTATTGTTTACTTTTTTTATTAGGCAATCCAATGCTCTTTGGTTTTTTAAAATCGGTCAAGTAAATTCGGAGAAAAATATCCTACCAGTTTGAAAAAGGTAGTTTCGAGAAAAATGCGTTAAAAGCTTTTATACCGTAATTTTATTGAATAAACGGTCGAAAACTTTTTTTTCCTTTAATCGGTCATTCCTCGTGAATACTGAGGACCCTCGTTGTCTAATAATTGCTGTAAGTGACTGGTCAAAGCTTTTTTCTTCTGAATTCGACCTTCTTTTGAGTGCTCACTGCTCCTCCTATTGGCTTGAGAGATACGGTCCTCGTCAACTTTTTGCGCAAAAAGTTGAGGAGTTGGAGTTTCGCCATTTTTTTTTCTTTTTTTTTACGTATTTTTTTATATATTTGCATTTTTTTCTTCAGTATCCTGATTGCCAGTAAATTTTCTTTTTTTGTTTTTATGTCTAAAACGCTGATTACTCCGATTACCTTTAAATTGACCGCCAGATTTCGACATTTTTTACAATTTTTAACTAATTTCACGCAAATATTACACGTGCTTACTCAAAAAATAACACAGAATAACTGCCGACCAGTATAATAATCATATATGTATACAAAAGATGTTTACACCGGGTGAAGAAGCAGCTGGCGGGTCGAGCTACACGCATGAATAGAAACCGGTTTTTATCCATAGGCATGCGCTCTTACAAATATTCGCTGTGAGCCGATGAGTAGAGGGGATTTGACAGTTTTCACCAACGCTATTAGTGGCAGTTTTGTGCATTTAACTTGTAAATATTCAAATAATGGCAAATATGGAGTTTTCAAAAAGAAAAAGATATGATACATGTAAAAATACTGGGTTAACAGTAATTGTAAATTTTATTCATTTCCTGTTGCCAAGCATAAAATAGTTCAAAGAGAAAAATGGATTATTGCTATCAATAAGAAAAATAAGTAAATAACCTATACTACAAACAACATGATATTTGTATGGTGTAAAATAAAAAAGCCATTATATTCCGAAACATTGCGTACATTCCCTGCATCAACTAAATCTTTCCCTTTTTTTGGTGTAGCTGGTTGAAATGGGATATCATGTGATATCCACTTAAAACCAGTATAATCTTTAATATCCATTTTGATAAAATTAAAACAAATTGATATCTAAGCACTAAAGCCTACGCACACAAAAAATAACTGAACAAAAACAGAATAAAAATGCAAAATAAAAACAAGAATTACAACGTTACAGATAGTTAATTACTGTTAAACTGGGAATAAACCACAATTAAAGATAAAAATACGTTTATTGACGTTTCAATTTCCACTTCGGAAATCGTTCTCAAAATACAAACAGTAAATTTACTGTGGTTAAAAGGTTAAAATACAAACAGTAAATTTACTGTTTGTATTTTGAGAACGATTTCCGAAGTGGAAATTGAAACGTCACTAAACGTATTTTTATCTTTAATTGTGGCTTATTCCCAGTTTAATAGTAATTAATTTACAATGCCACAAGAAAATAGCTTCAGAACAATGTTACCGATAGTGTTGCCCAAAATCGGTCTTGGTCTTGCAGTCTTGGTCTTGTTCTTGCGTTTTTGCAAGACCGAGACCAAGACCAAGACTGCCTTATTTTTGCAAGACCAATACCAAGACTAACCGTGCAAGACTTGAGCAAGAACAAGACTAAGCCTGCGAGACTCTTGCGTCTTGCAGTTAGGACTGAGTGTGGTTTTAGGGAGTATACTAGTTCGGGTGTATACTTAGAGACTCTATGAGACGCAAAGAAGTATTAACAAAAATGTGGAAAATTTGACTTGTGCGTTACGAAAAATACCATAAACATACATAGCGAATCAAAATGTTCATTACAAGAACACTTAAAAATTTGAGCATTCTTTCCCAGCACACTACTTCTTCGCTCTGAAATTAATTATCCAGATTTTGAGAATAGCCCCTTCTAATAATAAAATAATATCTTTGCTTTGCGACGCCGACAGTAATATCGTATCGAAACTTTTTAAAAATGTATCACCTTAGCTGATAAAAAATATAATTAGGTTAGCATATTTTTTCCTTATAATTTAGTTACGAAGAATTTAAATACCACAAATTTTAGCGGCCTAAGACTAAACATATTTTCTGCCGAGTATGCGATATCATTCAAAATTTGCTGAAATAATGCGGCTACTATTCAAAAGTAACGAGATAAACAAACAAAGAGATAATGCCGATTAGAGTATAAACAAAATACCCATATATTTAAAGTAACGAAGTAACGATAATAATTCTCGGTTTTTTATTCGATATTTAGGGTATTTGATAGTATCGAGTAGTTACTTTTTCGACATCACTATTTCATTCTCAATCAAGCTTTCCTTCAAGTCTAATGCAGTAATTGTTTTTTATCTAATATCTTTGTTGTTCTCGGTGATCAATAAGAAGTTTACAATTTGACATGAGTGACGAATTTGACATGAGTGATTCAAATAGTTCTAATTGGAGTAATGAGAGTTGGAGTCATAGATCTAAAAGACCTAAAAGCAAATTTGACAAGTTTTTGGTGGTCTCTTATATTGCTTTAATAAGTGAATTATAGTTTTTTATCGTATCACCTAAAAAATCTGTGCCCTTGATACATGTATGTGGATTTTTTGCCATATACCAATCTTTTTTAAGATTTTCATTTCATATACGATGGGAGGTCCATCAATCCCTTTCTAGGCAGATAATGTTCTTTAAAATAGAGTCAAGTTTATGTCATTCATTTGTTTTTTTTTGTGTTTTAACCATGTTTCAGCACATGTAAGCCTATTAAATAATATAAACATGTATTAAGAAACAGATTGACTTCCGTGGGGCATGGTAGATAGCTGAGTTAATTAGAGCATAGGCACGGATCGCTTAGATCCGTGCCTATGCTTCAAACCCTACTCGGTGTCAGTTGTTTAGACATTTATTAATTCGGTTGGTCTTTATTATGGCTATGATTATTCAAGCTTAAAATTTACTTGCTCTGTTACGTTGTTCTATGATCTAAAGTAACGTTTAATAAATAGCAATAGGCTAATGGGTAACTGCAAGACTCTTGCTGCAAGACCAAGACCAAGACAGGGAGTGAAATACCAAGACCAAGACCAGGTGTATTGGCGCGACCAAGACTGTCTAAGTCTCGTCTTGGTCTTGCATTTGGGCAACACTAGTTACAGAGGTAAAGGTAACCTTTAACCAAAGAATATAGACGCTTAAGCGTCTATCACAGTATAGATAACTACATGATACTATGACTAACAAGATAGGATCTTCTCGTAGCACAAAATCGGTCGTGTTCGCGCATGCCGTCATTGGAGAGTAGAATTTAAATTCTTGTTAAAGTTAAATGGGATTTGTATGCATTCTATGATGAAATTACTAGACGAAAATAAGTTAAGAGGTTTAATAATTACAATAATCGTACACATTAAAGACTATTTATTGATACATACAAAAAACTGACATTTCGAAGGTGCAACTCTCCAATGACGTCACGACTTATGCGCAATATCTTATCTTCTTAGTCATAGTATCATGAATAATTAATTGATTGGTTGACTTACCTGTTAAGGAAAGACAATCATAATTGTCCTATCTTACATTTCGAACATTTGTACTAATGGTAGTGGTATTTTCTGGAGGTTGACCACAGTTTAAAGAAGAAGAAAAAAGAAGATATCCAGCTTCTTGATAGGTGACTAGGCGCGAATCACTGTTTTTTTTTTGATCGCACAATAAACGGGTGGGTTCTAAAGAATCAATGGGGGGGAGCGTACAAATGTTCGAAATGTAAGATAGGACAATTATGATTGTCTTTCCTTAACAGGTAAG